TATATATTATATCAGGTATATCTGTTAAAGATTTAAAGTGGCATCTTTAGCATTTTTAGTGGGAAAGAATTTCTATATGTGACTATTGATATATTAGAATATATTATCATATGTATAGAGATTAATCAGCTTTTCATCAGTGTTTTCTATAAGTTACTACGACCAAGGCAGCGCTACAGCTGAAGAGTGATTGCATAATTTCTATATAGATTCTACAACGAGTTAATGTTGTTTTCCGCGAGGGAGGAGCTGACCCCTTCTAGCAATCCTGCCGTCATTCAATTGATGATACGACCTCTGTTCACTGCAATAAATCAACGTTTTTCTAACGGCATGTCAAAACTGCATGCACGTAAAGTGAGTGACCAGTATCAGTGACCGTATCATAGACTGCGCCATGCTCCTATAATTATATCCATGACTGTCTCTGCAACTCCGTGAAAGCGCAATATATGTGCGTATAGGCTATGGTATCAAAAATGGCATTTTTAGTAACAGCAGAAGGTCACCACACATGGTGTGGTTGAAAAGTCAGTTGGCGCGCATCTAACACGGCACTTGTCAATTTTTTATTACGGTAGCATACACTATTTGTATCGCATGCGGATGAATACGCACCCGACTCTCACCATATATAAATATATAAAAATATTAGTAATAAAATGCTTTAATCCCAAATAATAATTAACTGGCATATATATTAAAAGTTCTTCACTGTAAAACATCATAAAACTCTACGTTATTCTATCTCGGACTTTCCCTAACATTTACCTTTATTAAGATACACTGAGGTTTATGACAAAACTGCGTAACAATTGATATGTTGTTATTTCGTTTCTTTGTCCTGTCATGTCTTGAACATAATAGCTCGTTAGCATTTCTGTATAAATGTAAACACATAGATGATAGAAACGTGCGTGCAACACTATCACTACACACCAGACGTCAACACATACAGTTATGCCATGTTCACACACATACATTTACATATGTGAAATGATAAATCAGTATACATCTACTTATTATATTCTCCTTCTAATTCTACTTGTCAGACATATCAATATTTACATTTATATTTATATTTGCTTACACTATATATTATATATATATCTTGATATATATATATATATATATATTTAGTGTTACCATTATGCCCTTGTTAATGATAATGTGGATATTTACCGTGCATGGCCGCATAAAACTGGTAAATTGTAAAAAAAAAATATTATTTAAGGCTAATGCGTTGAAGTCTAAGATTAAAATCGACAAATGAACGTGCATGGGCCTGAATTTGAGCAGATATCCCGCATTGAAATTAACTAGGTCATTATATACTGATCGGAAATTATACATTTCAGCAGTGATATATTTTCAATATAATACAACATGACTTGAATATAGGTTTATCTGTAGCTGCATTAATTTCCAATTAATTAACGTACATTGACAGCTAGCTCAGCGGAAAACATGATATAGGTCATCAAGATGCTCTTATATGTTAGATCTAAGCTATGATTGATAGTTTTGTACCACGCGGAATAGGATAGTAATTCTTGGCACTAGCTGTTAGCAGCGTACCAATGACATTGCTACTCACTACAATTTGCTTGAACCAGTGTGTGGTCAGAGACCAGGCGGAACATACTTCACCTAAAACATCACGGCACTCAGCCCCTAGTCGCCTATGCTGGGGGAGAGAATGAAAAATATGGGGATTGAAAGCGCTGTCATAGGGCCCCTATATTTGATTGTCGTAGATTTTAATGGTTTTCTTATTTTTTATTCATAAATCATCACGGCAGGCTAGGAATGGTAGGCGGAGTATAACACCATTTCATACGATCGCCTGTTTCATGTTAATTTTAGACGATTATTAGCTATTTTAAATGCATGCCGATAATTTAAATTCTTTCCTCGTGTACTTTCATGCGTGTATTATAGGTTAGTTGCGGTTATTGCAAACGCAGTGAAAACACACGGAGAAAACATGCCATTTTGTTATACTATACGCTTGTATGTGTGTATAACGGTGATGTATCTTTCGGTATCTAAGAGGATAAGAACGGACACTAAATATACGCAATGTATATACTGATAGAAACAATTATGAGAAATTTCACATATCAGTAAATTGTTTTTAGTCGCACTGTGCGCGTGTGTGTATATGTGATTGTGTGATAAAGAGAGAGCGAGATATAAAGAAAATAGGACAGGGAAAGAGAGAGAGAGAAAAAGAGAGAGAGAGAGCAAGCGAGAGAGGATGGAAATGGAATTCTTATGACCGTGCACGAAATTGAGGTCAGTGAGATGAAATTATAACGCTGCCCGCAGGTATAGCTCGAATCACCACAGCCGCTAGCTACTTGCGAAACAGCGCAAGTCTGCTGTAATATTTATATTTATGGTGACGAATTCGGTTTATAAGTTGTCATGGTGGAACAGCGCTGTGCCAAGGAATTACAGAACATATCGGCCCCGTATCCACGATAGCAGGTGCGTTGCTGATGCATCTCACGCATTAATATGCGGACTGCATTCATATATCTAGCGTTTTATTGCGTTTACGGATAGGTAAAACTGGTTCAATAGGTAAGACAGCTGCTATATAAGGCTCTCTCAGATCTTTCACTGCAGTACCGTATTCTGTGTGCGCACTAACAAGATGAAGTTTCTCGTGGCTCTCTGTGCTCTCGTCTACGTGGGTAAGTAGTTTGGCTTCATGCGCTCAGTAAAAGCAGCGAATATTAATTCTCGCTGTCCTCATAATCTTACCCAATTTTTAATACCGGTGTATGATTGCATCTTGAGCACATTTTCGGCTGCACGCTGTGTTATTAATGGCTTGCATGGTGACTTTATTTGCACCATCCGACGTCCAGAGTGCCCACCGATTGTAGGTTCGGTGAATATGGTGCATCTACGTTCTACAGGTTAGCTGCTAACACTTGCGCGTTATTGTTTCTCAAGCGGTGGCCGCTCCTTTCAATGACAAGATAGAGAAGCGTCTTGGAGTCCCCATACAAGCAGAGATTGACTGCCTTGACCTAGCATTGAACTTCTCATCGGATGCGACCGACTGTCAGGTACGCGGATTTTGTCTTCCAACATATGAACAAGATATATTGTGCTTACACTTTATAGTGCATGAATCTTCTTTATACGAAAATGCGGCGCCTAAAATATGTCTTTGACAATATTGACATCATCGCGAATTTCGTGATGCATGTTTGTTTTTATTTGATAGATGTTTAGAAACAGTACTGATTGCGTCTTGTGACTTTGATAACCAATCTATGCTAACCAATTCATTGTTATTTAATTTACGATCGCCGCATCCTACTTTAGTTTATGAAGCATGATCATGTGGCCTTATCGTATTTGGAAAAAATGTGACAATTGTAATTAATTGCCATTGTATTGTGATGCTGTTCATAATTGCTGATTTCAATGACAGGTTTTCTATCTGTGTGGCAACGGATGGCCCTACATCCGCCGTTGTCCGGGTGATACCGTCTGGAGCCCTGCTGATGAGAGGTGCATGGGAAAATACGTCGCCATTAATGACGTATGCAGATACGAAGCTCCAGATCTTCCTGTCGAGGTGACTCTCACTCCCGAGGAACTTGATTCCGGTAAGTACATAGTTACCGGTCACTTTGATAGGATAAAACATTTAGGATTGATTTCACTTTCGATACCCCAAAACATGCAAGGTGCTTCAAGACGGTGAAATATACTATAAAAGAGCTGTTTTATGTTGCGCAGCTGCCTGCTACGACCCGAGGTTCAGGTGTGACGGCACGGTCAACTGCAATGACGGGAACGACGAAGCCGGCTGTGCGCCAGCTTGCGACCCCGCCGCTTGCAGGCTACCCGACTGCAAATGCAGCAATGCCGAGATCCCAGGCGGATTCCTTGCTAACGAGATCCCACAGATGGTGCTGATTGGCTGGGACGAGGCTCTGAGAGTAGAGGACTACAACCATCTCCTCCAGCAGGTAGACGCAATGGATGTGTAGTAAACGAGTGCATCGCTACATACCGGCAGTAATGCACATAATATGCTTCCAGTTTCCTACGCTGTGATTCCAGAATACTCAGTTGGATATTGGGCTTCTTTTTAGATCTTGAAGAAGGTTACTCCAGCGAGAAGGAGAGAGCCCAGAGCCAACCCGAATGGATGCCCAGCGGTTGCTACTTTCTTCACAAGCCATCAGTTCACTGACTACGCTGCTGTACAGAGTCTATATTCTGAGGGCAACGAGTTTGCTGCTCATTCTATCACGTAAGTAACTTAGATAAAATTGCTCCCACTATTACAGCATGATCAAGATAGCTGCATTGGTAATTATTACAATAATAATAATTATTGAATAAAGATGATAAGATGGTGAGATTTTATTGCTTTCGTATCTCTCTCTCTCTCTCTTATCACTTATAATATTTCGGTTCTGATAATTTTAGCAAAAAGCTGCCAGCTGAACAATGGGCTTTGGACAGTGACGCTGAATTGTCAGCTGAGTACTCTGGCCAGAGAGTGATGTTCAACAACCTCGCTGGCGTGCCACCAACGGCAGTGAAGGGCGTGCGCTCCGCGTACCTCCAGACAAAGGGCGCTGACTACGTAAAGCTAATGCAGGAAGAAGGATTTGCCTATGATTCATCCTACCCCACGGACAAGATGGACCCTCCTTACTGGCCGTACACCTTTGACTACCAGTCCAGCGCTGGCTGTCCCATACCACCGTGCGTGACCGAGTCCGTTCCTGGTATGTGGGAAATGCCCTTGGTAGACTGGATCGACACCAACGACACCCTGTGCGCAAACGTCGACAGCTGTTACTTCCCCAACGACAAGGCAGAAGCCGCCCAGCTGCTGATGAGCAACTTCCGTCGCCACTACGATAGCAACAGAGCGCCCTTCACTCTCAACCTGCGGGCGAGGTAGGTGTTCACAATGATCGCCTATTGACGTGTAACATCAATGCCTTAGTCACGGTCGATATAGCGACACACACCACGTGTATCAAATCCTGTAATTACGAAACATATATGTTTC